GGGGGGGGGAGGTCACAGACACTAATTGAAAGAAATTGAAATGTTGCCAGACGTAGTGCTGTATCACCTGACGGCCCTGGAGGACTCCGTCAGGAGGCCCACGTCAGACTGAGCTTCAGAGTACAGCAGCAGACGGAGGGAAACGTGCACGTTCCTGGAAAGCAGACAAAGAGAAGCTCTTCCTCTGATGTCCTCCCACCTCCCCCCCCCCCCCCTCTTTGGTGTGGTCCTCCTTCATCCTGGAGTGCTCCCTGCTCCAGGCGCTGGGCATCGATGGCTCAGCCTGATAGATGTGTTCTCTCTCAGTCTGTCACAGCCCAGTGTAAACACTCAGCCTTTATTATCACCTCACCTTCACTGGGGGAGGAGGAGGAGGAGGAGGGGGGGGGGCAGACCAGACTGTCAGCTGATTTAACAAACCTCAGAAGACCAATGATACCATCACATGTCAGACCTGACCTCTCCTGTAGTACTGGGCCAGTGACCACCTGACTGCTGGTTCATGACCTCCACTGACCAGCACTAGTACAGAGGTCAAACTGTTGGTCTTCATTTGAATCTAAATACCTGACCCTGGACCGTTGTAGACCTGGTCTGGTCTTCAGTCTCTGGTGCTGTTCATTAGTAAACTGTCTTCTTTCTTTTTGTGCCACTGCCCCCCCCCCCCAGGTGACCACTCACCCAGAGCCCGTGTCCCAGTCCATGAGCCTCCAGCAGCCCCCCCAGTACAACATGGCCGACAGAGACAAGCAGCTGGTGTTCTCCGACTTTGAAGATCTGAGTGCCTCCTTCCGCAGCCTTTACAAGTCGGTCTTTGAGCAGTCCTTCAGCCAACAAGGTGAGTCCACCGCTGTGGAACACGGACCACCATACAGAACATCAGGTTACTGACACAGAACAGAGGGAGCTACGTTTGGGGGGAAAAAGAACATGGACCAACACATTTCCTGCTTTATAGTTCACCAGAAAAATAATATACATATATATTATAATTAAAATAAATCATGTGTGAAATGTTATTTCATGACGGCTGTGCTTTAGCAGTGGAGTAAACGCTGATGAGCAATGGCGGCGGTGGAGGCGGCGGCGGCGGCGAGTCCTCGTGTGTGCGTTGATCAGAGCTGCGTTTGTCATAATGACAGGGATTCTCTGTGCTTTACTACAAAATGGCAGATATAGCACAGCTCTGTGAAAGCTGCTGAATCTCTGTGGAACACAATGGCTTTTTTTCTGCTAATCTGATTGACTGATAAACAGAGAGCACTTGACAGGCCGGCGCCGACTCCAGCCTGGGTGTGTAACCTACTTTTACAAATGAAGTGCATTTCAGGCTCATGTTTTCAAAGAGTTTCTCTCTTATTATCTATCATCAATGTTTCATTAGCTGAACGCTGTTACCTTTTTTCATGTACATAAAAGTGAAATCTTTGTCAGAGCAGCTACAGCAATTAAAAAGCGTAAATAATCGAGCTGCGTTTCACACTCTGCCGCCGCGGACAGAGAGCTAATTCATGGGCTTTGATAATGGGTAATGAGCTCGCATTATTATTCTGCTGCTGCGTTAATTGCTTTCTGTATTTCCCTGGTCGGACAATGGGCTTTCTGTGCCGATAAGAGCCGCACCTTTGTCACCCCTGCAGTGAGTGTTTGGTACCGATTGTGGAGGTGCCGGGGCTGGAGTCAGCTCTAAAAGCACTCCAGCAGAGGGGGTTACTGCGGAGGACGGAGCTTCTTAAGAACACTCCTGAACGCTGAACCACATGAGGGGGGGGGGGGGGGAGGGGGCGTGTCCACGCTTCATCCACGTCTGGTGGAGAGACGTCCTCTGACCAGGAGGACGGAGCAGCAGCTCAGGCTCCTCCACCAGTGATGAGTCATTCTCTGATTCAACAAAATGGCAGCTGGTCAGTCTGAAGTACAGAAGTGGACCAGGTGGACCAGGTGGACCAGGTGGACCAGGTGGACCACAGTCCAGCACTGAATAACAGGTCCTACAAGAGGATTAGACTAATCAGTCTGGAAGAACTTGGTTTGGGTTTAACCTGAACCTGGTTGATGAGTTAAAGGTTGTTAACTAGTATATTTGTGTATTTCTGTATTTTCTGGACTATAAGTCGCACTCTTTTCCTCCTTTGGCTGCGAACACGACTTATATATAAAACATATGTTTTCACATGTTTGTTATTTTCACACTGACAGCAGCTAGAGGGCGCTGGTGTGCCTTGTACTCGGGTGTATGTTTGTGTGTCTGTTGAATGGTACCACATACACTCCTGGTGTTTGTTAATGAAACGTTGACCCAAAATCCACAAACCAAAACTGTTTCCTCGTTTCTTCAAATGTGGTCTGTGAAGTGGAGTTTCTTTTTCTTTCTTTCTCTCCTTGTTTATTGTTGTTATTTCACAGGTGAACTCTGACCCGCTGGTCTGACCTCTGACTCCTCAGTGTTTGTCTCCTGTCTTCATCCAGGTCTCATTGGCATTCCCTCAGACTCCTCCCAGCAGACCCACACCTCCTGCTCCTACCAGCACTCCCCCAGTGGAACCATCAGTTCTCAGAACAGCCTGTCCAACAACCAGGCCAACAGTCACCCCAACAGTCACTCAGCCAACAGCGGCCAGGTGCCCCTGTCCCACCCTGGCCACGTCTCCCCCCACACACCGCACCTATCGCAGCACAGCGGCCCCCACAACCAACACCCCCAGCACCAACAGCACCCCCAGCACCCTGCGCACCCCCAGCACTCCCAGCACCCCCAGCACGCTGCGCACCCCCAGCACGGGCAGCACACATCGCAGCATCCGCCCCACGGCCAACACCCGCAGCAGCAGCACACGCCGCACCCCTCCCAACACACGCAGCACGGCCAACACCCCCCCCAACACGGACAGCAGCACCAGAGCCTCCACCAACCGCATCCCACTCAGCAACAGATGGCCTGCAACACAGGTAAGAAGAGCAACTGTGATGTCATCGCCAACAACAACAACAACGACGACAACAACGACAACGATGACAACGATGACAACCTCAAACTCTGTCACAGTGATTCAGGAAAAGAAACTGAAGGAGGACACGTTGTCATTGTTGTTGTCGTCGTTGTTGTTGTTGTCGTCGTTGTTGTTGTTGATATTTTTGTTGTTGTTGTTTCTTCTCTTTTTGCTGAGAACAAAGCAGTGCTGTGTCTCTCCACTTCAGTGACCTTTACAGAGATGACTAGCTCCTCCTGGTGGTCACTGCTGAGTACTGCTCTGTTTTAGGGGCTGATAAAATGTTTTATTTTCTGTTGTTTTTTTATCTTTGCTGCTATAAAAATGTAACTTAACTAATAAAATACATTATTTCCACGGGTGATAACAAGTTCATAAACGACAAGAAAAGTGTGATTTTAAAACCTGAACCAAATCTGTTTCTGGTCCCTGGAGCCAACAGTCTGCTATGTATTTGATGTATCTGTGTTGCAGTATTACAGTGTGTACTGTGTGTACTGTGTGTTTTGCTCAGGGCTGCTGTCGGACTGGTACCCAAACCTGGACGCACTGAAAGAAAGCTGCCGTATTGCCAGTAACTTCAACTGGACTGACGTTGACCTTTCACCTTTTCAAGGTTGGTCTTTGTCCTGAACTTGATTTAGTTTCTGTCATTACTTTTACATTAAAGCCAAAGAAACAGTTTTTAAAATGTTCACAGTGTTTAATAAACCTCTGCGTTTGTGAAGGTTTAATAAACAGAATGTTCTGGTAATTCATAAAAAATGTTTTTCAACAAAAATATTCATGTTTATCCTTCTCTCTAGAAGGAATGTAGATTTTGGAGTTTGTTTATTTGTTTCATATATTTTTATACAGATAATTCAGCTATAGATTATGATTTACATAGATATATGAAGTGACCACTGTGTGGCGCCACAGAGTTGACTTGGCGGATTTGATTTTGACTTTAATTAAACTGAACTTTTCAATTAAACTCAGCCTTGGAGTTTAGTTTAATTTGAACACAGAGGTCAGCAGGTCTCGTCGTCCAATCACAGTCCAGGGTGACTTCTTTAACCAGCGCCCTCTGGAGGTTACTGACATAATGACTGTATGCTGTTACCAGCTGTTTTCATTCCTGTTACTTCATTCATTTCTAACCGTCCAGTCCCAGGTCAGAGGTCAGAGGTCACAGGTCACTCCAGTAGATTCTGTCATCGACTCGTTCTTCAGACTGTGCTGTTTTTTTTCTCCAGGTTTGAGGGAGAGTATGAGACAAGCAGAGCTGAACAACTGGTCCCTGGAACCGACCCAGATCGCAGACCTCTGTTCGTCCATCAATCAGTTCTTCGCCCGCACAGGTGTAATCCAGCCACAGGGGGCAGTGCAGCCCTCAGTCTGCCATGGCTCAATGCATCCAAACAAACCCAGCCAACACCTCAACACAGGTTAGTGATGGGGGGGTCAAGGAGGGGGGGCAGTGACCCAGTGATGCTGGTGTGGGGGGGCAGTGTCAGTCAGACCCCCCCAACTCACACTGATCTGGTTAACTGTGTTTATAACCGTGGGGCGGGGTCCCTCTGTGTCCTACACAGGAAATCTCTACATGGACACGAGACAGAACCTGTCCATGATGGGTCCTCCAGGGTACCCCCACATGCCCCCCATGAGCAGCGCAGGACCCACTCTGACAGGTGACCTCAGCTTCACTGTGAACCACCTATTAAAGGGACAGTTTGTGTTTTTTCCACCACTGTGTAGCTGTCAGTGTCAGTGACTCTAAACCCAGGGCCTGCGGACCCGATCCGGCCCATCATGTTCTGTGTGTAACAAATACACAGCACCCGTCCCTCCTCCTCTCTCACCCCCTCCTCTTGTCTCCCCCCAGGACACCACGGACAGATGAACCAGCAGCACATGATGCCAACCAGGAATTTCCAGATGCATCGTCTCCCAGCGGACGACATCCAGGACGACTTTGACTGGGACTCCATCGTCTAGACTCTACGCCTCTTCCTTTTTTTAAGATGAACGGGAGCAAGGAGAAGAAGTGAGGGAAGAGGAGGAGGAGGAGGAGACGACCTTTGGGAGTGAGACGCAGGACAACGTTGTAGAACCGTTGGAGAAAGACGTCTCCAGAGTCCTGACGTTTTTACAAAGCAGAAACAAGAAGAAGACTTTGTAGACAATCATCTTTAGTTGGACGCAGAGACCAGTGAAGAAGAAGAAGAAGAAGGAGAAGGAGAAGGAGACGCTCCTCGGCTCCTCGCCTCCTCGACTCCTCGACTCCTCGACTCCTCGACTCCTCGGCCCCTCCCCTTCCGTCCCTCCTCGTCAGCAGCCTTCCAAAGTCTGACCCTCTGCTTCCTGCCCCGCCCCCCCGTACCCATGCTCCGTAACTGTCCTGTGATTTGTCCAGCTTGTAGTTCTTCTGGTGTCCACCTGGGGTCAGCGGTGTCTGGGATGAGTCTTTGTTTTCTTTTCTTTTTAAAAATGTTTCTTTCAGTTTGATTCTGTTGTTAAAGAATTTCAGGCCTTGATGGAAAGGTGCTCGTTGGTCACTTTTGGGAGGAAGTGTGCCCCCCTGTGGCTAGACTGGTGCGGAAAGTTTTAAGTTTATAGAACCTGGGGTTTTGAACAGGGTTTTTTTTTTACCCAAAAAAGTCTTGATATTTAGAGAGAGGATGACAGGAAGTGATGATTCTTGTAGCCAATCGTTTCGATCCGGTTTGGTGCAGTCGTTAGAGGAACTTTTTATTTTAATTTTTTTTTTTTACAGCAGATTCAAGATGAACGGACGGCGTTGGAGGCAGTTAGTCTTTTCAGATTTGATCCAACATGAGGTTGTGGTTCAGTGTGTGTTTGTTGTGAAGCTTTGTTTCCCTCTGTGGAGCTGAAAAAGAAAAACTTTGATGCTGAAGTTGAATAAGAAAAGAGAGTCGACAGGAGTCGATGACAACAGCCACAGACGTCAGTGTGTCTGTGACTGTTGGTACTGAAAACAGGC